TAACTATTTTGTAGTAATTGTGTATACCATGAAGTGTGTCCATTCAGGCAAACTGGTAAACCATGGTTTAGATACCACTAGCAAGTCCTAATCCTGGTTTAGCATCAAACCACAGTCTGCAAACCCTTCTAGCCAAAACCACAAACTATAGTTTGTGCAAACCAAAGTTTGTCCACAAACCAGACTCAAATAACAGTCTGTAATCTTGGTTTGCCACTAACTCAGAATCATAAATTTCTACTTATCATGCACAGGGCACAAGTAAGGGAAGGGAGGAGTATACAATGGAACTCCCTCCCCCTGGAGGCACAGAGAGCGTCTACAAATTCTACCATGGGGGGTGGTGGGGAGGGGGACAAGCTTACCTAGCTTGTGCATAAATCAGGCACTAACTAATCTTGTTTACTTGGTGCAAATCCCAAACTAAAACTAATTTTGATTAGCCCAGACTTTTTTTGCTTGACCAAAACTTCCAGATTCCTGTATTGTGAGTCTTTCATTAAAGAAGACAAGAAATTATTGACTTCAGGTCAGAAGGGTGCCTAGAGGTCACAGGCCATGAATATCCAATATAACTAAAGGGATATAAATAAAGGGATATAAATACATCCTTCTGGAGCATAGTCACACTTTTCTAGTATTGAAGGGCAAGCCATAAAGGCAATAAGAGTTAAAAGCCCAAATGTTTGCTAACAAATTATCTACTCCCCAAAGGTGGGGAGCTATGGTATTGCAGGAAACCCCCATGAATTTTATTTAAAGTTAAACAAATGTTTTCTGTAGTATGAGGGCAGCAGCCAAAGCAGTGCACAACACAATAAAAAGAGTGTTAGGAAAAACACATCTCAGCAATAAAAAAAACACTTGAACAACATACATTAAAACATTAAAACTTGTCAGCCAGCGAGGAAGACAGTTGTTTCACCATATAAAAGGGCTTTTTTTGGATTCAATGGCAATCACAACACAAATGGAAGGAGGTTTAGTGTTTCTATTAAATAGTATAGAAAAGTGTACAGCATTTAAGCAAAATCCACACAGCATGAGGAAGATAGTAAGAACAAGATAATGTACCTCCCCGTTCTGTTATTGGGAGCGTCGGGAATCAACGGAAAGATTCCAGCTGGCCAGTACAGTCAGGACCCACACTGAAGCTCAGGAGTCAGGCCCCATGTGAGAGATGCATACGCTCCAGCCCCCTGCTGGCCTCTTGCTGGCTGACCTATTATGTCAATCCCTCCCACCTGCTAAGCTAGGTCAATCTACTGAGGCAGCATAATTAATTAGTCCTACAGCTGCACTGCTGCCTACAGGGCACTCAGCCTACAGCTGGCCCACAAATGAATCTTCCACCAACCTGCTGCTCCATATCCCTAGAGCCCACACAGTAAATAAAACCAAAAAACCTTGCTAAGGTACCAATAAGGGAGGAAGAATCATTTAAACCAGTATCTATTTCCTCAGGATACAAAAGTCTTCTTGCCTAGGTTTTATCTGCAACAGTGAACCAAGTTCCAGATGAGCCATGGCCAGATTTAATCTCTCTGTCTCGCATCCACAATAGCCTACAAAGAGCCAACCTAGTACTACTAGGAGCAGAGTTAACAAGCGGTCATGACTCTGCTATCCATAAATTCACAAACCAATCCCTCACAAATTGCAAGACTGGAAAGCATTGAATTTGGCCTTCTTACCCATTTGAAATTGCAGAACTTTTAATAGCTGCAGAAATCAAACTTTCATGTTTTAATCTTTGACAAGCCAACATTTCTCACAGCAGCTTGACTCCTAATGAGCCCTTTTTACTGCAGAGCCAAGCCAGGCCAAGGTTAGTGAGGAATGGAGAGAGCTTAAGCATGAACCTGTGTTAGGATGACATACTAAGATTGGCTTAGCTCAGCACAGTGAGGCAATAAAAAGGACAAGGAAGGGGCAAAATGACCATGAATTCCTCTCTAGGTAAGCCACAGTTTGGTCTTACCATGAAATACAAACCAGGCCACCGCCTTGCTATATATTAAGAGTTTAGGTTTCCAAGTTTCATATTCTGAAGTCATCAATCCCCAATCCCCAATTGCTTGGGGATGCAATTAGTCATCTTACACTCTGTTCTCTACAAACACATTGTTCATGTTACTACTGCTTCTCTTCTGCTCCCCAGCAGAGCAACACAATTCTTCATATCTATTTTTATTTAGTCTCTGATTTAATACCTCTCCTTTCTATAGTGGCCTATACTGAAGGCAGCTGACTATGATAAAAAATAATACAGTAAAAATAAAGCAAAACAAATCAGAAGCAGTAGCAGGATAGAAGACTTCAAAATGTACGCTGAAACAAAACAGGATTGTGGCTTATATATGGCTCATTCAAATGCACACCCCTAGCCCTTAGGGTGGGAACATACCTTGCTATAACACCATCTGCTTATGCCCAAACTTAGACAAGCCACTAATATTTTATGTGATGGCGCAAGTCTCTTTGTAATACCAATACAGGATGACATGCATGTTCAATGTCCCACTTAAAAACCTCAAATCAGCAGGTTGAGATTCTTTCAATGAAGGAAGGTAAGTGTTCTCTTGGTAAAGGCTTGACATCAAACACACACACAGGGCTCTGCAAGGAACAGGTTAGATGGGCTCCTACCCAATTTGCAATTTCAAAACAGATGTGACAGGGAGTGAGGGAGGAAGGGGTAGAATATGCAATTATTTCAGTTAATCATACTTGAACTTACATTACAGTAGGATATTTGGACTAGGGGGCCATTCCCAAAGTTTCACAGAGAAACCCCCTCTAGCAGGGAGGGCTAATATATTTACTATCAAAAGCTTATAAACATGCTGTGCTGCTCTTGCACACAGGCTTGAGGAATTCACAATCAAAGGGCACGTGGAGGTTAACCACTCTCTCGCGACCTCTAATAAAATGTGTCGTGAGCTCCAGCACAGAGCACAAGTCACCATAATTCTTTCTTCGGAGCTGTTCCATTTGGAAGCAGTTGCTTGGAGAGGACCAGGGCCAGAGGGGGAAAAACTGGAGTGAGTCAGTAAACCGTTAAGGCACTTGGCATATCCATGAGCTGTGAAGCTCTGTAGGTGTTTTAAGCTGAAGAATTTTCTCATACAGTACTCCTAAGGCTTAATGCACATTTTAAGCACTCATGGCTTTGCCACTTCATTTATGGCTAAAATACATGTGATGTGGAAGATCTGTGATTGGGATCTTTCACTTTAATAATGAAAGGTTAAACAGGCACCATAAGGAAAGACCAGGATCCCCTGCAACATTTTTCCAGTTTGAAGCTGCCCCTAAGCTGTTTGCACAAGCAAAAGTAAAAACTAAAAGTATCCGTATGGATAACTGTTTGTTCTGTTCCATGTTTCATACTCCGTGGGGTTCGAGGAGATTTCAAAGTGTGCCACCCATAATTGTCATCTCTCTGAGCAAAGAAGTCAACCTTCTCTCAAAAAACATGTAGTGCACAGTGCCCAATATTTCTTCATGCTACATACCCAAATCCATGAGGTGCAAGTCATTGGCCAAGGTGTTGAATACCTTATTCATGTCACATCTGATGAGGTCACCGTCAATGCTGAGCTTTCCTTTGAAGACGTTGACAGGCAATTCATGTACTTCCACTTTCAAGAGCCTCCAAGTTGCAAATGTCCTTGTTTTCTCCTGCTCCAGAGGGTATGACCTGAACCAATGGCTTCAAGATACAAGGAGATTCTGACTAAACATCAGGAAGAACTTTATGATGGTAAGAACTGTTTTGACAGTAGAACCTTGGAAGGTAGTGGAATCTCCTTCCTTGGAGGTTTTTAAGCAGAGGTTGAATGGCCATCTGTCACAGATGCTTTAGTCGAGATTCCTGCACTGCAGAGGGTTGCACTTAGATGATTCTATGAAAGTGGACTATGACTTGTATCTAGGGACTCATACTTCAAGAATCTCAATCCTGACTCAGCCTCAGGTCACTTTGAAACTCAGGAAACACACTTGATCTATGCCTGGGGATTATCTCAACTAACCATTTCATTCTTTGTAACCATTTTGGCAATTCAAGCCACATGGCTATTTTATTCTCTGATGTGATGTTGGTGCTGTATAATACACACATTTATTTGGAGTTTGAATGGAGACTGATCTTCTGCTAATTGAAGTGCAATGCAACATCCCCGTGGGACATCTCCATGGCAACATGTGTTTATATACATGCTATCATGTAACCTATGAACATATACAGGATAAGTTGCAGGTGGAAGGGTAGTTCTGCATTGCTGCAATCTGTTAGAAGCAGATATTGAGGATCTTTTGATCCAAAGGCAAGGTATAAATCTTGATTTAAGATAGTTTTTCATGTTCACTGCATTCACAGAGAAGGGTAGAGTAAAAACAACACACTTTTGTCTAAACCACAGCACCATCTTGTGGCAATAATTATACTATACTGCAAATCTAAATCCATAAACTGCCGAACAGAAGCCCCAAATGGGACATTTTCTTCTGAAAGCACCACAGGTCAACTCAGTTATTAGACTAAACAAACACACACCAAAGCATTCTTAAAATCAATTGGTCATACCCAAGAGCCAGTACAATTTTGTGTAGCCTATTACAAAGTGTTCATTCTAGGTCATTCATTTTATAGTTTGTATTTGACCTTCCATATACAGAAGCAACAAACTTCTCATTATTTACAAAACCCCTTAAAAGAGAAACAGTTGATCAGTTGCCTGATCTAGCTAGTGACTGCCAATATTCAAATTACTTCTCACTTGGAAGATTTAAAGATTACACCGTAAAAGCAATTGAGAAATTCTAGTGACAGGATTAACAGATACTGTAAACAGCCTAAGTAACTTCTGCTCATTGAGTAACACTAGTTTTTCACCTCAACTACTGAGGTTTGATATTTTCAGTTCCATTGACATTTCAGCACCCCAATGGATCAAACTGATCACAATCATCATAAAAGCACACACAGAAACTTCTTGTTTTAAGATTTTTTTTACAGCTGAATTACAGAGCCTCTTCTCAGGAGGCTGGATCTTGTAGAGAATTACAACATTTTTTTATACTCTACTGCATCCCACAGAAAGGCCAGGCAGAATTACAATTAAAGTACAGGTTTCACATTGCATAAAACACAGTTTACACAACATCTGGGTGTACAAATGAGCAGTATTCAATAATTTATAGTTATTTACTTTCATAGTATTTTAGCATCTTCATGCAAACCAACACATGCTTTGGCTCTTGAAAAGTTGGCATTATTCCTCAAAACCTTCCTCCGTGCTGCATTTGCTCTCTTAGTCAAAGGAAGTGTGTACAGTGCTTTGGGAAACAAACACTAAAACACATATTATCAGAAAGTGCTGATTACTGTTTAACATTGAATAAAGATACTATGGTTTCCATTACATTTTTGCCAGCTAAAATAAAGGTCATTAGGTCAAAAAATATAGATATTACGCATTTTAAGTTACACTCAACTTCACAAATTTCAATTCTGAAAGTGTCATTGCAATCCTTTGTAAAAATGTTGTTTCATTGCACACAAATTCAGTTTTATATCCCTGAAGATTTCCATGTACCATGAAAATAGGAAGTGGGCCTAGTTCAAAACTGTTATACTCACTGGGTTACAAACATCTCTCCATAAACGTCTGAATGTGTGATTTAAGAATTTACTGTCTCTCTCCCCCCCCCACACAAACCTCAAAAAACAACAGTGTTTTACAGTCATGTTCCTTTCCTCACACAATACATAATAGTGCAAGTCTATACTTAACAAAAACAGCAATATTTGAATTACCCGTGAAAGTAAACATTACCCTATGGCAAGGGATGTGATTAACAGGGAATTGTGTTCATGATGCTGAATCAACACAACTGAAAGCTACTAGGAATGTTATTGAACACATTTCAAGATCCTTCTCCTGTGGTATATTACTTCTCCCTGGAAAATCTGCAAGTTCATAATGTTAGATATTCTCTGAATATGAAAAGCGTATCATTTGCATACCAATGAGTGTGGGGTCCTTTTTTGCCCAGAAATGCTGAAGTTTCCATAGCTAAAGTATGTGATATTCAAAAGAAAACAAGGTTTCTTTTCCAGTTTATCTATAGAGGTGTTGTGTTACTCAGAAAACTAGTTTTCACTATTTATGCTTCTAAAGAACTGATTATGCCTTCCCAACACTGGCCCATAAACCTTCTATATACATTATGTTTCAGAAAATATTAGGGTCATATGGGAAAAGGGATAGCCAACATAGTTTAAGGTGTTCCACACTGTTTAGTGGGCATTGTTCAAAAAAATGCTTAACACTCCTTTGCCTGAACTCCATCCTTGCCCAGGAATATCAGAGCATGAAGCAATAGGCCCTGAAACTAGACATCTAGAAAGAATTATTGGGAGGTAAATGCCATCATCCAAACCCACTTCCCCTTTTGAAGGAAGACTGTAATACTCAAAATTCTTTATTAAAGCAGATGCACTGCAAAGATGTAGGACTGTAACTCAAGAAGACTTTGAGATGTACAACCATGCTTTCCGTACATGTTTCCCAGAAGCAGACAAATATTTAAATTTCCAATTTACTGATTGCAATGAAGTGACGGCAGCTTCCAGAATTGCTCATTGCCAGAAACAGCTAGGTTGACATTTAAGAGTAGAGTTGTATTGGAGTTACAGTAGTCCACTTGCATAATCATCATCTTCCTCATTTCCACGGGAACCTCCTTCACCTGGTTCACCCACTTTGCCCTGTGGAGTAACTGGGGATTTCTTCTTCACACCTCCTCCTGGGACAGCCAATGAGAGGCCAAGCTTGGCATACTGGCAGAGGGCAAGAACAAGATGTTGAGCACACATGCCCTGTTTAACTTACTCTGCTGCAGTCAATGTGAGTATTTGCATAAAGTAACAGAATGGTTAATTAGAAAATGCCAGCACCCCACTAATACTACTCTAAGGGAAAGTAACAGAATACAAAGCAGTGGACACATTCATCTGTGTCCCAGGGCACCATGATTATTTCTCACTATTTTATCTCAAAAATTTAATCTACAAAGCCATTAACAATTGCAATAATAAAATTATAACTCATTAAGATTAAAAACACAAGTAATGTAAAGGAAGGCCTATCTCTGCAATCTGAAATCAGTATTTACAAACCTATGTTACAGCCAATCTTTTTTCTAGAAGGAAAAAGCCCTCTGGAAAAAAAAGTTGTATGACCAAGATGACAAGATACTACCCACAGCCCATTCAGACTTTAGCTTTGGCAGTGACTTGAATACTCATGTATCATAGGAAATGCCACATTTATGCATAGCATTGCAACTTACTATTTGTCAGTACAAAACACCCTGTGGATCAAAATAATCAGTTAATATATTCTGCTTAAGAAAATAAACTGAGACACCAACTTACATCATTGTCCATGTATTTAAACAGTGGTGAATTGCAAACATCTGATACTTGGTCCTGGTCTTGCTGATCATACCCCTCTAGGAGCTGCTCCAATGCGGCACAGTCTTCACTTTCACTGAAGCCTGGTATGCTGAAGCAATTGCAGTATTATGTAAATTACTCCACTCAAAGTAAAGAAACTAAATTTCCATATAAGGTACAAACAAGAAAATGGAAGACGCGAGAATCAGGGCCTGAGAAGTACCTAAACGACCACTTCCTACAATATGACCCTGCCTAGATTCTGCATTCTTAATCAGAAGCCCTACCCTGGTTTCCCTCACCATCTGAAGTTAGATGGGAAGTGACCAGGAAGACAACCTTTTAGGTGGTGGCACCCTATCTTGGAGATGTTCTCCCTAAGGAGATTTGCTTAGTGCCAACTGTACAATTTGTAGACCCAGATATACCAGCATGCATTGACTGATTTTAACACTGCTTTTATCTGATCGTTCTGCGCAAGTTTTATGATTAAACCACTGGGATCTTGGGAATTAGAGCATAGTATCACCTGTATGGTGCACACAGCTTTATTTCTCCATTCCCATCTGAATCAGGAGAGGCTATGGAGGTACACTGAAGCAGAGAAGGCGTGGATGGGGGCTAATAAACTGAGGCTCAGTTCTAGTAAGACGGAAATGCTGTAGGTGGGCAGGTTCCCATATCTAAGAACTAGGTGTTCCACCTGTAATGGCAGGAGTTGATCTCAAGTGGTTCCTGTGGCTAGGAGTGCTTAGGCCTTGTGTAGGCTAGTTTGCCAGCTATGGCTGTTCCTGGAACAGAATAGCTTGGCCCCACTTAGACTAACGTAATGGGTTCCATGTAGGGATGCTCTTGAAGTGGTCCAGCTAATGCAGAATGAAGCTGCTAGATTAGTAAGTGGGGCAAGCCCAATGGAATCTTGTGTCACCTGGTTCTGAAAGCTTTGCTCTGGCTACCAGGCAGGTACCAGCCAAATTCAATGTGTTAGTACTATCAGATAAAGTCTTAAATTGTTTGGTACCCAAATGCCTAAGAGTACCAAATGAATGAATGAATGAGCAGCTTACTTTCTAAACCAACAAATGAGTTTTGTAGATGTAACAATTTGATATTAAGATGAGGAACAAATTTATTGTTACTCTTTTATAAGCAAGGAGCGTTTCTCAAAAAGATGATGTGCCAACAAACCCTGCATTCAGCGCTTATGCCAGTAACAGAAATACAGAACATAAGATAATGAAGAAGACAACTATGCTTTTAAAAATTAAAAACAAATCAGGCAAACAGATGACTTACCTACAACTTTCCCTGACACATTTTTCTGCAGCAACATAGTCATTTCTGTGAAGATGAACTAAGACCTGAGCAATAGTTTTCTAAAAGGAAAAAAAAATGACTGATTCACTCTCTAATAACAAAGCTGTATTAATTTCTCAGTTAAACAGATTCAACAGAAAAAATATAAATGTCAGCATCTCAAAGAAAGAAAAACAGAGGTACTTTGAATAATTAAGGGTGATTTTTTTCTTTCAGAAAAATGACCAGATTTTTTTGCAACAAATGTTTGGCCTGCCATTTTCTGAGCCAAGATTTACAAGTTTAGCATTAAATAACTCTCCATAACTGTTTCAATTATAGAAAGGCATAAAATAAATACACCTTTTGCTATTTAAGAGGACTTGGATCATTACAGATTATGTACTTTGGCCATTAGGCTACTTTGCCTCTTCTTCACCAAACTAAGGATGTAATTTTGCAGGTACTCCTCATACATTCATCAGCAAGCATTGAACACAATGATCACATCGGTACATGGAAGATGCTTGTAGCTTAAAATAAACAGGGTCTCATGAAAAGCTGAACCTGAAACCCTGATAGCACCTAACAACAGACTCTGCTAGTCACACACAAGTGAATTAAATAACCAAGGCATGGCACAAAAGTTATGCAGGGTAAAATAAGACTTACTCCACCCAATCCATAGATATTCAGAATTTTCAAAGCTGTGTCAGATTTTACAATTATAACACTACATAAAATATGGAGCAGGCCAATATTTTTTTAAAAAATCAGCTTCCAAGTTTGATGGTTGTTGTTTTTTTTAAGTACTTTAAAACAAATAAACAAAAACATGAACCAATTTTAACATTTCCAACTGTTTTAAGACTAGAGATTAGTGTGTGTATGATTTCTAGTGAGGAATACATCTAACGCTGTTCAATTAGATGTGAGCTTACAAATTAGAGTAATTCAAAAGAAAAGAGAGCACTTTTTCAGAAATAGATAAAGAGACCACCTGGCTTTATACCTTGTAACAAGTTGGATAGTTTTCAATATCTTTATAAAGACTCTTTTCCTTCTGAATAGATACTGCAGCCTCATCTAGTCTGAAAGACAATGAGAAGGATTGGTACATTTAAAGAAAAGAGCAGCAGGAATCAGGGAGAGAAAATCACTCCTTAACTGTCCATTTTCCAAAAAGGCAGCTCAACACCCAAGCAAGACATGAGCTCATGTGCGGTTACAGTGAGCCCATACTGAACGTAAAGCTGAAGGAACCACTTCCTTACAAAATACATGCTGGAGTGTAAGGAAATGGTGAAAAGCCAGGCCAGATTTATACTACCTGCAATGCATTTGGATGACTGTGTCTAATACAGCCACATGAGCACTGGGATATGGAATGTATGGCTGACACCATTACAGATGTACAGGAAGAAATGGTTATGATCTGCATGTTTTAGTTGTGCTAGCCCCAACTGAGTGCCAGTAACAATGAGAATGACCTTTATCTCCCAAACCCGGACTAGTTTTGCTGCTGGGGAGATGGGATTCAACGGGCATATACAGCTCTAAAGAAAAGGCAGTAGAATCTTAGAATTGTAGAGTTGGAAGGGACCATGAGGGTCCTCTAGTCCAAACTCCTGCAATGCAGGAATCTTTCTGCCCAACATGGGACTCAAACCCTCAATCTTGAGATTAAGACTCTCACGTTCTAGCAACTGAGCTAAATGAAACATTACTGAGATAGGGATAGCTTTGTCCATTTTCAATGTTTGTTGTATTTTTTAAAAGAATGGTAAGTGGACACGAAAGGAATGAGTTTGTCTCCTTTGGCTTCAGTGTCTTTGCAGTTACCAGCCAATAGATGCCCACCACATTTTAATTCTTAAATGAAATATCTGTTTCATTTGAAAGTCAGTTATAGTAGATGCCATTCTACAGGAATAATCTATTTCCCAAGAAGAAAATTTAAAAGTTTGCAAGCTAGGAAACTGCAATTCCCCCACCCCAACATGGATGAATGTCATCTAGATATCATGCAAGAATTTAATGACCAACTGTGAATTTATGCAAAAGCTTCATCAGCTGGCAGTGCCATGAGAATGATTTCATTTTAAAAAAGGAATACAAAAGTTAGGATGCCCACCTGCGACCTCTGACTAAAAGCCTTGAAGCTTTTCCATACATTTCAACTGCTTGTCGTAAACGTTCTTCATTCTAGATAAGAAACCAAAATCATATGAGAACATTAATGATTTGTCAGGTAAAATTCTCTCCAGTTTTACTTGCCTTAATACACAGCTCTATCAGCTGGGTGACCCAAACCTCTCTGAGTAAGCTTAACTGGAACATGAAATTCCAGAAAAGTTGCAGCATTTAATGCAATAAATGCAGGTACTGCAAGGTAAACATTGCATTTTAAAAACGTGAGTTGTCGTGAGTTGAGAAGGTGAAGACAGATAGCTTGCCTGTTTACCTGCTTGCCAAGCTTGGCCCCAATTTTCTAGCCCCATTTAGGCTTTGTTATCTACTCTTATGGCATATATACCATACAAATCAAATGACATTTGCTGATGAAAGTAGTAAGACTCATGTAAAAAAGAATTCAGCAGTGCTGTCAGAAAGACCAGAGACAAGAAGACATTTAATAAGCACACCTGAAGTTTCACCCTTTTGCAATAGGACTTGACTGCTGTTCACCTTCTAAATTTTATTCTCTGCCATTCTCAACACATTTCCTGGGGAACATACTATATTGCTTTCAGGCGACTTACTTCAAACACTGCTGCTGTCTGCTGATAAAGTTGTATAGCCTTGTCTGGATTTATATTTTCTATTACTCTGAAATAAAAAGTCAACATTATTATTTAGCTTGATGGCTTTTTAAAAAAAAGCAAACTAGATAAATCAAACTTCTTTTCCAGAAAAGAAACCAATGCTTTGAGTTTGCAGACTTACTTCCCAGCCCGATCCAGGGCTATAGCTGCTGTGTCAGGTGTTCCATTCTCCAGGTACATCATGCTGGCTCTCTGAATCATTTCCACTGCATCATGATGTTGTTTCATCTCCTAAAGGAGAAAGAGAGAGATTCACGTTTGTCAGGGAAAACGGCAAATCAAAGTCTATGAAATACTTTCATTTAGTTTTATCACATTATTGCATATTTGAAACTATTAAAAGTTTTGTTAAACCCTTTGATAAAAATCAGTACGACAATCTTTAGTAGATGGAAACATTAAAAAGGCAAAGGAATTCCTGCAAGAATCGTAGAGTTTGCAAAGAGTGAATGACTAGGGGCAACTGCAAACACCCATTTATACAATTTTATTTCAACACTTTATGATTTAAATCTAAATGTATGTATTTCACGAAGATGCACTGCATTTGAGGCGATATGAAAACTTCCTATGTTGTTGATCTGTGATGGTTCAAGCATTGGCTATGCGTGTGAGAATCACCTGGAAAAGGTTTATTTAATGGGTTAGCTAAATGTCCTTCCCTCACTTTTATCCTAACCAAAAAGCGTAAATTTCTTCATGCTGAAAAAATACAGCTTTTAAATACAGATTAGCTGACTTTCAAGTCAACAAAGGTTGAAATTCCTTACCAGGAACCACCTTCCTATTAAAATTACTTTGAAGTAAACAGGACAATTAAGATGTTAGGAGTCCTTGAATTTAAGACAATTAAGTAGTACTGATTGAGATCACAAGTACTGGCTTCGCTGATAAATGGATCATACAAGCAGCACAATTGAAACCCAAGAGCCACCAGAATGAAATAGTTTGGATTTGGAGGACCTTGGGCTTGTTACCCTGGCTCAGTTGCACTGGTATAGGTACCGAAAAAGGAGAGCCAGGTGCAGGGAAAGAAACTATCTAAACTTATTCCAAACCCCTTTTCAGCTTGGTCATGTGACCTAGCAACCTGGCAAAATCTACTCAAAATCTCTAAAAAAAAAAAAACGCCCACAAAAAACCCCAACGAGTTTATCAAACTACAGGATTAGCATTGCACAGGACAAACACCCAATAATTAGTTGTAACCAAATCAAATATAGTTTGACTGGAAATGGCCATACCTTTAACATCATGCCAACTTGTTCATAAGCTCTGAAAAGCAAAGCAAAATAAAATCAGTGCTGAAAGTGAATGAATTTAAAGTGTATCATACCAAAGAATATAGGACAGACAATCCTAAGATGCAGGCATCTTGGAGCTTATTCACTCCGCTGCAATATGCAGCACAGAACCAGACATCTAAATTACATGTGCTTTGATTTTTGCTCCATGATTTGGCTTGAAATGGGAATTCATAGCTCTCTCCCATGAGATGATGTGTGGGGAGCTCACTGGCTGTCCACGGGGGGGAAGTAAGTCCCTTTTTTAAAAAGAGTAAAATATAAAGTAGATGCATAACCGTACATCTCTTATTACTACCTAATTTTGTAATATGCGAGAAAACTCACAAGGTTATAATCGAGTATAAGCCGACCCATATATAAGCCGAGGCACCTAATTTTAGCCCAAAAAACTGGGAAAACTTATTGACTCGAGTATAAGCTGGTTCACCACACAAACCTGGTGGTGGCGGCAGCGGCGGAGGAAGAACAAGCACTCCGAAAGATTCCTCCTCTGCCGCTGCCAACAGCGGCAAAGGTGGAGGAGGAGGAAGGAGCAGCCCGAAAGGAGCCACTCATCCCTCCACTGCTGCCTCTGCCGCTTGCAAGAGTAGGCATGGGACCCACGGATGGGAGAGGCACAGGGCAGCGCAGCGCCTCTCCCAACTGCGGCTCCTGTGCCTGCCGTTGCGAGAGGCGGGCAGCAGCGGCGGGACCAGCGGCAAGAAAGGGCTCCTTTCAGGTCGCTCGTCCCTCTGTTGCTGCTGCCCACCTCACTCAAGTATAAGCCGAGGGGGGCCTTTTCAGCATAAAAAATGTGCTGAAAAAGTCGGCTTATACTCGAGTATATATGGCAATTAGGATTTAGGGGGGGGGAGTATAAAAAAACCCTGCGCTTTTTGATTATTTGCTTTGTAACTGCTCCAGAAACAGGTTTTGCCTTGAATCTTAATTTTGTTTGCCCAGGCTTAGGCAGAGCAACTGCCTCACTGCTGAATGGGCTTTGGCTCTGGTGCAACTTTACACCGGCTTAACTTATTTCAGCTTCCTTTGTCCCAGCTTCCTGTGCACTGAATTGCTGAATTATATTTTGATGAGTGTCAACCTCAATTACATTTTCCATATACTGAAGAGCTCTCAACAAATTAAAACTGCATTCATACTTACTTTGCAGCATGGAAGAGACTGGAAATAAATCATTTTGAGTCAAGGATACAAATTATACCATGTCTTCCTGAAATAAATACTATACTCAATCTTGAACTGTTTTTAAAGAGGGTATATACTTGAATGCTATTGGTACAAGTTAACATTCATATATGGACCAAATAATTCCACAAAGATAAGACAATCCAGATCATTTCAGAACTACTACTTTTGGTTGTGGAGCAACGGACCCTTCTGCATCATGACAAGCAGCTTTTCTAGCTCAAACTTTTGACTGAAAAAGGCAAAAGATCCAATGGAGATGCAAAAGCTAGTGTCACAAGAAGCACTCGTCAAGAGTCGTGGTCATGAGTCATGTGGTAAACAGAGAAACTTCTTGAATCCAACCCCCCCCCCAAATATTATAGAAAACATTACATCAGTATTTACTAAATGTTTTCAAACCCTTAAGCAAAGCAAGAATTAATGAAAGGATACGCTTTATTGTTTTCCTGGCAGAGAGCTTCTTTATAATAGGCTTCTTTTGCCTGATCATATTGTTTGGCATTTTTAAAAGCAACAGCTGAAAAGAAAAAGAAAAGAAACCATTAAAAATATATTATGTTCTGTGTTTGCATGTACATAGTAATATCCATTTACTGCACCTCATAAATAATATTTAGAAGGGAACTTTTAAGAGACAATTTGGATTTTTACTTCAGCAAAGTGATTTCCCCCCCAGATCATGTCAAGTTTATTATCACATTCATTAATCAAATAATGCCTTACATTTCTTGCCATTTTAAAGAAATGTGAATTACTTTTTATTATTTGTATTAATCTTGAATAATGATATGAATCTTAAAGAAAATCATATTTTAGCATCAAAGGCTTTCACAATGTTATGGCTACAACCTTTATGCACGCATACTTGAAATTAAGCTTCATTTCACACTGTAGGGCTTACTTCCAAGTAAACAGGCATAGCATTAGGCTGCAAGAGACATACTTTGGCCTAAGAAGATTAGACAACACTCCAAGCTCTAGCCACTAGGAAATACTGTGCAACCTGACATCCATCAATAGTCTAAGGTAACCTCTGGTTTTCTTAATATAATGACTGCTGGGGTTTTTTCCCTTGCCTGGGTCCCCCAGAAATGATGGCTCCCATGAATGCAGAAATATACTTTTCCTAGATATTCTGAAGTGTTTTGCTCCTGAAAAGCCTTTATAAATTAAACCAATCTATCATTTCAAACAAACCCCCGAATATATCACCTGTCTATTTTTACCCTAGGTTTTTATTCAGAAATGCATCACAATCGCAGGTAGTCAGTTAGCTACTGCTGCAAGAATACAGCACTGTGGGTTAGAGGAATTTCAACAAGTTAATCCACAAACTGCCAATAGAAGTTAGCTTTGCCGGGGAACATATGAAACATATTTAAGGTTGCAAAAATGAACTGCCAACGTTTTACAGAACATACCTGCTTTTGAATATTCAGTTGCTGCACTGTCATAGTCTGGCTTCCATTTTAATAATCCAGTTTTCAAACTGAAATGTAGAATAAACCAAGAAATAGCAATTTATTTTATAAAAATATACCTCTTTATTGTAAACTGCTTTTCTTACAAATAGTAATAACAATGATATGCTACATCAATAAGGAATTTGATGCTGCAACTGTCGTACCAGTGATTGCCTACTGCCTAATAATTTCACTATATGTGTCAAAATGGTGACCAGGTATCAGGTCTTACAGTCAAACCTTTTCAATTCTACAAAGAAAAAGAGATTTATCTGGTTCAAACATAGCTGGGTTGGGGGGGGGGGACATGGATGATCTTTGCAGCTTACTGGTGCCACAGCACAGGCCTCTAGTTTCAATCTCTGACATAGCATAACAGGATCTAGGAAGAGTGGTGATGACCTCTACCTAAGTACTGCAACCAGTATAGGTCGGGTGGCCCAGTGGCGCGACTTTGTATTAAGGTAGAGTCCACAGAGGTTGGGGTGGGGGAGAGAAAGGAAGTACGCAATACTTCAGGGCTTGAACATCCTGGGTCAAGCGAGCCCCATTAAGGAGACGACGCACTGATGACGAATGTATGCCTGAGGGATGCAAAGTGTTGTCTGCGCATAAGAGCAAAACCCAAAACAAGAAACCGCCCCCCTCTTTTCTGGCGGAGGAGCTCCAGCAGAGCCGCCTGGAGTTGCTCTCAAGAGACGAGCGCGGGTCCGAGAGGGGCTCCCTCCGCCCACAGCTCCACCCGGGGGAAACCGCCCCGTCTCCCATGGGGAGCTGGAGGTGCGCAGTCAGCCACAGCCCCTGCGTACAGCCTCTCCACTCGCCCGCCTGTTCCCCAAGGGCTGGCAAGCCGGCTTCCCTTGTCCCTCGCCGGCTTCCTTCGCCCTCTCCCCCTCCCGCCGCCCCTCGCTCACTATTTCTCCGCTTTAGCGATGTGCTCCAAGCCTTCGTTGATCTTCTGGGCAGCCATGTCGCCCAGCAGGACCTGCAGGGATTCAAGGCCGTGACGTTAGCGGAGGTAAGGAACGCCGCTGCACCCAAACAACTGCGAAGGGCGGAGTCTCCGCGAAGGGCGCTTGCGCGAAGACAGGGTGTTCCGCCCAGGGGCGGATCCGATTCCTTAGCCTTTCTCTCCTGCGAAGGCAATGCGGATTCTGCCAGCATTCCACAAATAGGTCTCTTGAGCGACAGCTTCAGTTAAAAAAATTAAAAATGTGCCTAGTTTCAATACATGAAAAAAGCACTCAATTTTTCAATAAAATAGCTATGACGTTGCCTTTCTTCCCAGACCCTGACAATGCTAGTTAATTTTATCATTTGATCTGCTTCCCAAACCTTTGATATCCAATCCTCCAGTGATAGTGCATTAGTTTCCCCAGTTATATTAGATTGCCATGCTTACTGCTGTTATAGATGTATAGCCATTTTTCTGTCTTCTTATAATACATTAATCTTTAACATTGCAAAAGATTAAAGCAGAACTTTATCTACCATCTCAAATAGGTGACCTACATTTTGGAGGGCGTGTCTGCTCTTGCCATCTATTGCTAACGGAATGGAAATATACTCTGATTTGTGCTTATATGACTGAACTGGTCAAGTGAGTCTTTTACTTCATACAGATTATACTGTACTGTATTTCATTTTAGGAAGGCATCATAGCAGGTTATCTTGCAAGCACTTTATATTTTCCTAGTGACAAGCAAACTAGGAACAAACCAGTACTTAATATGCACTACTGTACTTAAATACTTGAAACAGAATCACAAAAGGTCATGCTAGAATAATTGGTAAATAGACTTATTTGGTAACATGGGTTGTGGAGAGCTACAGTGGTCATGGTTCAGTTCCCACCTTAGCTGATAATCATTGAGTGTTTCGAGCATAGGTGTCGCCAGGATTTATGTTGCAGGGCAGGCTTCATGTTAGCTTAGATTTCTGCCTACAAATGGGTATAGTACAATCAGGAGTCTTGCACAAATACTAGGAAATTAGTACTGTAAGAATCATCAAGGGTTTTGCTTACTGAAAGTGAGATATAAACTCTTGCAGAAGTTTGTGATTGAGATGTATATACATTGACAGCGAAAACCTTTAAGAATTTGACTGTATTACAAAGGATGAGAGAGACTGTGGCCTGGAACATTTAGGATGAAACAACAAAAATTATCTAAAACAGAAACAGATGCAAAAATATATGGATACCGTTTTCAAGCCCAACAATGTTAAATAATAATATATATCCTGTGATTTCTGCATTAGCACTGCACTAAAACTTTTCTTATGTAGAGATCAAGTATCAGAATACTTTTGCTCAATGCTCTAATACTTTATACTTGTACACACATACCCAGATATTTGGGACAAATTACAGGTCCTGGGACATCAAGGGTTCTACTGTAAAGGTTTTTAAAATAAAATTCTGGTTTAACTTTGTTGTTGTTTAGTCGTTTAGTCGTGTCCGACTCTTCGTGACCCCATGGACCAGAGCACGCCAGGCACCTCTGTCCTCCACTACCTCCCGCAGTTTGGTCAAACTCATGCTGGTAGCCTCGAAAACACTATCCAACCATCTTGTCCTCTGTCGCCCCCTTCTCCTTGTGCCCTCCATCTTTCCCAGCATCAGTGTCTTCTCCAGGGAGTCTTCTCTTCTCATGAGGTGGCCAAAGTACTGGAGCCTCAGCTTCACGATCTGTCCTTCCAGTGAGCACTCAGGGCTGATTTCCTTAAGAATGGATGCGTTTGATCTTCTTGCAGTCCATGGGACTCTCAAGAGTCTTCTCCAGCACCATAATTCAAAAGCATCAATTCTTCGGCGATCAACCTTCTTTATGGTCCAGGTCTCACTTCCATACATCACTACTGGGAAAACCATGGCTTTAACTATACGGACCTTTGTTGGCAAGGTGACGTCTCTACTTCTCAAGATGCTGTCTAGGCCTGTCATTGCCCTTCTCCCAAGAAGCAGGCGTCTTTTAATTTCGTGGCTGCTGTCACCATCCGCAATGATCATGGAGCCCATAAAGTAAAATCTCTCACTGCCTCCATTTCTTCCCCTTCTATTTGCCAGGAGGTGATGGGACCAGTGGCCATGATCTTCGTTTTTTTGATGTTGAGCTTCAGACCATATTTTGCGCTCTCCTCTTTCACCCTCATTAAAAGGTTCTTTAATTCCTCCTCACTTTCTGCCATCAAGGTTGTGTCATCTGCATATCTGAGGTTGTTGATATTTCTTCCGGCAATCTTAATTCCAGCTTGGGATTCATCCAGCCCAGCCTTTCACATGATGTATTCTGCATATAAATTAAATATATGGTTTAACTTACATTGTAACAAATGCTGTCCAGCAGAGGGCTGTATATGAACATATATTGAGCAGTTCCCTGGTACCATTAAACAAGATGGCTCTCAAAACTGAATTTATTTACAGAGTAATTCACTGCATCCTGTTTCTTTCTCTTGATATTTATTGCTTTTATACTACACAATCTATGGAATCAAGCAATGTCCTACAAAAGGTGCAAGATTTTGCTTGTGTGTGTGTGTGTGTGTGTGTGCTATTGCAGTGTAAACATATGCTTGTTTACTAGGGCTGTGCAGTCAGGATGCACAATTTATGTCTAGGAATCCTCCCATTCAAAAAGTCTGCCCTGGGTCACCTGGCAGTAGCTCCACATCACATCCTGACCCTTCTCTGCTTGGGATAGGAATGGGACAACTCAAGAAAAGTGCAATGAGAAGTGAGGGCTGGGGAAAGTGATCAATAGTTTATCTTGTCCCCTCCCACTGGAGTTAATGGGAAGGGAATCTGAAAAATACAAATATCTAGGTTACAAAACTATAAAAATAAAGTCATAACTCGAGTTGAATGCGCTTCGGGTTGAGTGCGTTCGAGTTGCGCTCCGCGGCAACCCGGTAATGGAGAGTGTTACTTCTGGGTTTTGCCGCTCGCGCATGTGCAGACGATCAAAATGACGTCACACGCATGCGCGGTAGTGGCGAAACACGACCCACGCACGCGCAGACGCACTGCCGCATCTTGCGTTCCGTTCGGGATGCGAATGGGGCTCCGGAACTGATCCCGAGGTACCACTGTAAAGAAAAAGTAAGTTTGCAAAACAATAATTACCATGTGGTTAGGGTAGATCAATGTGTCAGTGTCCACTTATCCCCAGTGTAAATATGACATATTGGCAAAAGTTGGAAATTGAAAGATAACTATAGCATGTACACGGAAATCGATTTCAGATTTGAGATCAGCATTGAAAGAACATATAAGAACAGTTGAAAAATCTCATGCAACAGAAAATGGAAAAAAAATTGTTCCCTAGTGATCTGTCTGAAGTCTCACAATATTGGGTATTCAGCAGTGCAGGGAAGAACAGTGTCTTTGATGTAGAGAAGAAGATAAAAATATAGTCAAAGAATTATAGGATCTATCACTTGGGAACAACTACCTGAACCAAAGGCATTCATTTTTACAGCAAACTGAAATAAATGAGTTGTTTATATTAGATACATGATATAAAACCAATGCAATATGTTAGAAGACAGTTATCTCATTATAAAAACCGCTGCATGAAAATGCCAGGGGAACTTCATTTGACCTTCACTGGTTTCTTAAGTCCCCAAGATATGCAAGATAATTTTGTTTGACATTTATTTAATGACCAGCTTTGATATGCAACATTCACTTGGCCAATGGGTTATAAATTGCTTTTGGAACACTTGTAGGAATTTACTTTTGTTAAGAGGCATACACAATTGAAATTGAAGATAATATATTCATTACTAGAAACTCAAGATCATAAAGCTATAGAGAGATAGAAAGCAACATTTTCATCTCAAGGCCTTTGGGGAAGAAAAAATAACAAGAAAATGTCTTTGTTGCTATTGCAGACTATAGTTTCACCATTCTTTAAAAGGAACTGCAGTCAATTACTCCACTCAAGCTCTTTCTGCATCTCCTCCCTACAACTTCATGAACTGAGAAGAAGGCAACAGAATGCTGCTGGAAGGAGATAAAGAAGTTCTCATTCAGGTCAAAGCTGCAAGATGCAGCAAAAGAGCAAGAGAAATTAATGTGTTATGCCATCTTACAAATGATACTTGTCTGGAGGGTTATGATTAATTTATAACCATTTGCCTTGTTAAAAAACACATGTCACATGTAAATGCATGGAAAGATAATAACAAGGCTGCAGTTCTTTAATCATAAATACTGTGATCTGGATTCTTTTCTAATTTCCACAGTGATAGTGGTAGAAAGGAGAAAGAGGGACAGATATTGGATTACAATAATTTAAAGATCTTTAGGAATGGTGCATGCTAAGCTTTTTCTTTTTAGCTTCCCAGACTAATGTACCTCAAATCATGCGTGTAGACTGCATTATAACAAGATATCAGAGGGCACAGGTTATTCTGAATGTGGTATTTGGTCTTCTGCAGAATTCTGAATGGTATGACAAGGACTGGAAGGAGGAATAAACCACAGGGAGAGGGTACAATTGGTAGACAAAGCATCTAAGATATGGATGCAGGATTTCAAACATACCCTCTGATCCGCAGAAGTCCTGCCCAACAGCTATGCTGTACAATTTGGTTGGCACTGTCTGCTTCTCAGGGCTTCAAGCTAACGGTAAAGGGTAAAGGGACCCCTGACCATTAGGTCCAGTCGGGGCCGACTCTGGGTTGCGGCGCTCATCTCGCTTTATTGGTTGAGGGAGCCGGCGTACAGCTTCCGGGTCATGTTGCCAGCATGACTAAGCCGCTTCTGGCAAACCAGAGCAGCGCACGGAAACGCCGTTTACCTTCCTGCCGGAGCGGTACCTATTTATCTACTTGCACTTTGATGTGCTTTCGAACTGCTAGGTGGGCAGGAGCAGGGACCGAGCAACGGGAGCTTACCCCGTCACAGGGATTCGAACCGCCGACCTTCTGATCAGCAAGTCCTAGGCTTTGTGGTTTAACCCACAGCGCCACCCGCGTCCCTAGGGCTTCAAGCTAGATGAGCTCAAACAAAGCTGTTGGGCAGGACTACTAAGGATTAGAAGGTATGCTTGAAATCCTGCTTTTGTATCCTTAAATTGCCTTGCCTACCAACAGTGCTGTGTATGTGTCTCAAATGTATAAGATCTCCTTCATTTGGTCAATTCTATTGCCTCTTTCCCTCCACATGATTGTCTTAGGCACATGTGGACCTACAACTGTGTGAAGAAAGCACCACAGGAAACACCAGAAGTAAGAGCCAAAGTAGATGTGAAATAAAATACATCTTTGTATTTAATGCCTAGGATTTTGTTTTGTTTTTTTAATGCAAATAGGAGCAGGTGTGTAGGGAGAGGGAATGTAATAATTTCTTCCCTGCTGCAGTCCTGCCAAAATTCCCTCCAATGATGCTGGTATTTGCCTTGGGAGGAAATCCCCTGCTGGCAACCCCCACCCTAGTTAATATAATTTAAATCTTAGATTACTGCAATGTGTTATACATGGGGCTGCCACTGAAGAAGGTTCGGAAACTTCAGTTGGTGCATAATTCAGTAGCCGGGTTGTTCACTGGGACAAGATGATTTGAGCATATAACACCAATCCTGGCCGACTGCACTGGCTGCCAATTAGTTTTTGAGCCCAATTCAAAGTGCTGGTTTTGACCTATAAAGCCTTAAATGGCTCAGGATCGCAGTACCTCAAGGATTGCCTCTCCCCACATGAACCAACCCAGACCCTGCAACCATCACCTGCAACCATCTTTGTGTGCCTTCTCCACATGAGGTCCAGAGGGGGGCAACATGAGAATGGGCTTTTTCTGCAATGGCTCCCTGTTTGTGGAACACTCTCCCCAGGGGAGGCTCACTTGGCACCATTATTATATATCGAGGTGCCAGGCAGAAACTTTCCTCTACAACCAGGCCTTTGGCCTTTAACTATCTGTGGCCTTTTAGAAGTGGATGGGCTGCATTCAGTGCATTTTCCCTCACTTGGTTTTAATGTATCTGTGTGGATCTTGGTTGGTTGGTTGGTTGGTTGGTTTGTAAGACACTCTGGGTTGCCTTGGACAAGATAAAGCAACTAATAAATTTAATAAATAATATTTTTAAAACAAACAGTAGGTTAAATGCAAGGATGCATTTAATATCAGATCTAGTTTAGCTCTAAGTAGCCATTTGCACAGCAGTATGCTTTTGAAATGGCTGCAGTTCTGGGAAAGGCTGGCCGAAATAACTAGTTCAGATGATATACCCCTTCAAATGATTTATTTCTGGATATTATTCTTGTGAGGAGCACAAACTGGAACAAATTGTTAAAGGCTGTGGCTGTACTTGTGATAGACTCACTAATTTATCAGTACAGCTTGTGATGTAGCGCTGAGATTGTCAATGGGGAACTTAATATTTCTCAACCTTCTTCAGAGGGTTACTGTAATGTGAGGCAGACCCATGTATGATTCTGCAGTCTGGTACATAGGCACCAGTGTTTGGAACCATGACATAAATCTCCAAGGATACATTGCCAAACACCCATTTATCCACTCAAATGAGGACTAGAAACAGTTTTGTGAAAGGAAGGAAGGAAGGAAGGAAGGAAGGAAGGAAGGAAAGAAACAGAAAAGCTTGGGAGACCCCAAACTTTGTGCTGTAGGCCAGGCACATGCAGAAAGCTGGCATTGCTTTCAACTCAAAAGCGTCTGGCAACAGTGAAGAGAAAATGGGCACATCATTTCAACACTGCTGTAGATCTGCTAATTAAAAGAAGTGTACAACTGATGACAATACAGCTGCCCAAAGTTAATCCATTTTAACAACATAGAGAGTGTTTTGACACTCAACCTTTTGCAGCATGTCAGCTGAATGGATCAGAACTTGGCAGGCACTGCTAGAACCTAATTTGCTGCAATGATTAATGTTTTCTTCTACTTTGCTCTTTCATATTTGGTGTATACCTGTGAACATATCATAAATCAGAGCTTACCTGTCACGAACCAGAGCTTAGCAGTCTTCATTCTTCAAAAATCCAGTAATCACAGGAATTGGCAGCCAAATCCTCTCGCTCTTTAGCTGTAATGAGGCAAATAGCAGTGTATTAGCTGACTCCCTTCTTCCCGATATATAAAAAAATTCTCACAGATGGCAAAATCCTACACAATACATTGTGGTTGTGCAGGCATATTTCCTTGCAGTTTGGGAACTGCAACTGGACAATAAAATATTGCAATTTGACAATAAAATATGGTCCATGCAATCCAGAAAATGCCACACACCAATGTAAGTAAGTAAGTAAGTATGTAAGTAAGTAAGTAAGTAAATACCTGAGATCTCAGCAGTTAATTCTGCACTTAAATCATACTGGTTGTATCAACAAGTGTTGCTCAGCTGATGGTGTAGCTTCCATTAACAAAATGGGGAAGAAAGTCATTTTCAGCTATTTCCTCACCCACCCACCCACCCAGAGCAGATTTAGGGTGGTACAGGGGCTGCAGCAGGGAGAATTAATTGCCAAAAATTGTTTGCCATCATGTTCTGTTGACAGAAGCCTTACCACCAGACAAACAACACTACTGGACACACCCCTATCCTAAATCTGCCTAAAATCTCTATCTTTACTCTAAGGTACCTATTATGTTTGGGTACTTTGATTTAATAAAGGTTGTCTTTTCTTTCTTTCATTGCAATGTTATTCTTTGTCTTTTGAGGGATGCCTGAGAACTCATTTGAAACAAAAGGCAAATTATAAATCTTCAGATAAATAGGAATGGATATTTTCAGGGAATTTCAGAATGACTTTTTTGCTAACAATTACTAAGCTTCTGAAGCTTTGTACACTGCACTTTTTTCTAGGGCAAAAAACCATGACGCTTTATTGATGTCATCCTTATAATCTGACCTTTCCTTGGTCCTGGTTCAAACAAAGTACTACAAACTGTTACGGCCTATTTCTGACACAGGTAAACTTGATAATTCAAATTCTTGTGGGATTGATTTTCTCAAGGGTTTTCCAAGAATCCACATGGAACACTTGAAGACCCCATTCTTACCGTATTTTTCCGTCTATAAGACGCCTCCTATTTGGGGGGGACCCAGATTTAAGAAAATGGGGGAGATGTATCCATGCATAAGACACCCCCTAATTTTTGACATTATTTTTAGGGGGGGACCTAATCTTATACACAGAAAAATACGGTACTTTTTATTGGAAGCCACTTTTCAGTCTTTATGAAGAAAAGTGGGCTAACAGCTTCTCAAGTAGATGAATAAATAGACCAGCGCATAAATGAGGAATCTGTAACTGAATAACTGCTGTCATTCTGCTGAGTTGCCTTTGCTGGCAAGAGTTGGAAAACAAGTTTTTCTACAACACATTGCATTTCATTGTCAAGCACAGATGAGTAGAATATTCAATAAAAGGGTAGCATATGTTAGAGGACTATATTGCTACAAGAAAAATGCCTTTGAGCAGAGAAATCATTTAAAAAAGTTTGGGTGGGGGGAAGAAAAGTTGTTCTGGATATGCAATGTTGCTGGCACAGAATAAAAAGCATCTCCACCTGGTTACTGTAATGGAAAATGAGAGATAATGCCAAAGCATGACAAGATGTGTTTTTCTCTGACATGTGCCTGGGAGGAAAAGGATAAAATTGCATGCTATAAATAATGTCTCTGAAGTGAGTGCAAAGTAGTAAATCCTGCCTATATTTCATCTTTAACCGACCTTGGAATAGTCTATGAAAACTAATTAATCTGAGCAGTTTAGAAAAGCTAAATCTTGAAGGCATGTGATGCCCCAGTAAAATACTACTGGATTCTGCTATTGTTGTACAGAATGAATGGTGCCTCCTAGTTTGGCTACTGCTTAATTCAGTGAGCTGTTGATAGAATATGACATTCTTTTTTATTCAGTTGTTTATGATAAATTTCTGTGTTGCTCTTGGCAGAAAACCTTACTGACATACCTTCCCTGAAGACTTTCAACCTGTAGGCCTGACTTGACCTTGAGGTCAAGAAGCCTTTGGTATTTTGCCCAAAGCCTCAAAACAGGTCATTCCACACTTGTCTTATTGCCAGATGCCAATAGGGACACTATCAATGGAGACGACTGTAACTGAAGAATGTTGAGAAGAATGTTTGAGTGATTGCAATCAACTTGCTCAACTTAAGGAGCACTTGAGCATACAATCGTACCTCGAGTTATGAACACTGTGGGTTGCACGTTTTCAGGTTGTGGACCGCGCCAAATCCGGAAGTACTGGAACAGGTTACTTCTGGGTTTCGGCGCTCGCGCATGCGCAAAAGCACCAAATCGCATCACACATGTGCACAGACGCAGCGCTTCAGGCTGCGAACGCTGCGGGTTGCGAACGTGCCTCCCGCACAGATCACATTCTCAACCCAAGGTATGACTGTATATATTTTAGCCCTGGCCACTTTTTCATGCCATGCACTCTTACACCAAAGTTTCCACTTGTGTGATCTTAATTCACTAAACCTGAGGAAGGACCAATATAGCTACAGAGTGTACACCTGGCTGGGTCTATTTTACATCTAGTGGTAGGGTGTGATTAGCTGCAGTTACTCAGAATTCAATCCTCCATTGTAGGTGTGGCTATAAAGGAGGTGGGGAAGTCATTTTTATGTCTATTGACACATGTCTAAAGGAACTTTTAAATTTACTCCACCTCTTCTGAAGGCATATGGTGAGATTCACCTAATGAGTCCTGTCAGAATAATCCCTGCACATGGACTTCTGCTTGTGCAATGGAGCTTTCCTCCTCTCCTCCCTCTGTATGCCCCTCCTCCTTTTGGCTTTGTGTGTGTGTGTGTGTGTGTGTGTGTTGTGATAACTCTCCGAACAGCACATGGAGAGAGGAGAAGAAGAGTGTTCTATCTGGCAACCTGAAATGCTCGCCAGAATTTTACAGAATTCAAACTGAAAATTTTAAAGAATTCAAATTGCAATACAATAACATACAATATAAGAAATAGGCTGCAGTTGCTACAACAGAAAAAAAACAACATTAAGTGGTCTGCCAAGATCCTCTGCAATTTTGAAGTGGTCCTTGAGGAGAAAGTTTTGGAACCGCTATCCTAGACGTTTGACATTTCGTTATTTGACTCCTAATGTTAAAAAATATTTTATTGTTGGATCCTCCTTCAATATCACTTATTACTAAACAACACAGGAAAGACAAAACACCAGGACTAAAAATTGTCTTCCAGATGTACCCTGCAGTCATGACCAAAGTTGCTAAACCAAGGCCCACCTTGGAGACCAAAACCAAAATCAGCAACAATGGGGCCAGCAGGTTCCAGAATATTAGCAGTACTTATTATACCAAAGGCACCATGTTGGCTAAATTTGTTTTAGGCCATTTTGTGGAATTAAAATGAAAGGACACTGCTGGAGCCTGTTGTCTGGTGTGGGTGGGGAGGAAGGAAGGTGTCAGTGCAATGCTGGGCTTTGCCTTGCTGTTGACAGCTCCTAACGATGTTTCACCCCTAAGCCTATATTGAAGGGGGGTGGAATCTGCCCCCTTCTCACCTTTAGCTACATTTCTGTAAATATGACAGGGTGGTCAAGAAGTGACAAATCAAAGTGGAATGTCAAAAGCAGCTGTAAAAAGATGCAAAACCACACACAAAAATGAGAAAGATACTGTTGCTCATCATTCTTAGCAGCTGTCCTCATTTTCATAAGGAGCCAAAAAGAAACCCACAACAGTGAGTCATCTCGCATTTGCATCCTTAGCAGTGAAGGATGATAATTTATAGAATTACCATTTTGCATTCTGCATATTGAATATGGAACAACTTCCAGTCACTAGTTCTAGTCCTTCTTCTGTTCTCACATATTAAAGTGGATTAGAATCTCCACTATATGTGTAAACATGTGTTCAAATGATAACTGAAATCCACTTTTTCCTATCCTTTAAGTTAAATTTTACAAAGAGAATAGCTGAATCACATTAAAGGGAAATTAACTGTGATTAACTTCCATCAGGTTATATTGCAGTAAGCACGCCTACAGCTTGATCCTATGCATGCTTAGTGAGGAAGACATTGGTCAGACTCTACCTTAATAGTGCTTACTCTCAAGTGTTCATAGGATTGAAGCTTTAGTGGGTAAAACAGAATTATGGAAAAAGTAATCATTTGGTTTGACTATTAAGAAGTCTGTAGTTCTATACCCTATGCAATGACAGGAAGAAGGACCCTTGACCTACAATGGGAGATACAAGGTACTGAAAAAATTATGTGCTTACTTTTGACACAATGCGCATACACTAGAAACATGTGGTCTTTACTCCTCAGATGGGCGGGGTATAAATAATAAATAATTATTATTATTTGTATGAACTTATCTGATTACAGTGGTGCCCCGCAAGACGAATGCCTCGCAAGACGGAAAACCCGCTAGACGAAAGGGTTTTCCGTTTCGGAGGTGCTTCGCAAGATGAATTTCCCTATGGGCTTGCTTCGCAAGACGAAAAAGTCTTGCGAGTCTCGCCATTTTTTCCCCATTTCCCCCCCCCTTTTTCAAAGCCGCTGAGCCACTAATAGCCTTTTAGCAGCTTAGCCGCTAATCCTTTAATAGCCGCTAAGCCGCTAAATCGCTAATAGCGCTAATCCTCTTAGCCGCTAATGGGGTTGCTTCGCAAGACGAAAAAACCGCTAGACGAAGAGAATCGCGGAACGGATTCTTTTCGTCTTGCGAGGCACCACTGTATCTGTTTGATGAATGGGTATTAATGTTGTACATTTTCCCATGAATTAAAAATGAAAGTGTTATGTACTGAAGTTCTCACCCTGGGCCAGCAGGGGGATACTGTAGATAGTTATGCAAATGAAGGATCGAAAGTGACGTTCAGTGATTGGATAGTTTTAGAAAGTTGTTACAGTAACAAGGTACTGGAGCTCTATATAAGCAGGCTGACTGAGCCCTTCAGCTCAGTTCAGTTCCGGCCTCAGAATAAAGAAGAGCTGTTTGAAGAATCGCTGTGTCGTCTGATATGTTTGCCCACAACTTAACAGAAAGAATAACTCAAATTTGGTCATGAAGGTCA